GTAATCCATTATCTCCAAAATTATCGATGACAATTCAAAAACACAAAAGATTGACGTTGTGAGTATTTATATTATACAATATATCATACAATTTATTTTATATCTAAGTTTATCAAATATTAATGATATAAAATGCGAGTATTTACGGATGGAGTAGCAAATCGAGTACGAAGTCGGGTAACGAGACGTGTAGTGAAAAAAAAATGATACCCTTTACCCGACCTTACTCGCAGGTATCAAAATTATAGTACCTTTTACCCGACTTGAACGTTATAGGTACTCTATTTTTCGAGACGAATACAAGCCGGATAACGGATAAAAGACGGGTATATGTGCCCAGCCCTAATTTGTGGATAAATAAGTGAGCAAATAGTAAAAAAGTTGTTATTATTTAAATATAATTTTTTAAACCATCGAAATTTCAAATATTTAGTTTATAATTTTTTTTGACGTTTGAAACTAGCCGTTGATAATATAACTTGAAACATAAATTACTGATTCCATAATGAACTTAAACGAATAACTTCAGAGTTCATATACACTAATTAAACTCACTAAACCAATTTTGTTTTTGTTCATATTAAAGCAACTGAATAATTAGCATGCTAATAAGTACATTCTTGAATTTTAAATACTATAATTATATATCGTGAACCATCAATTAAAATTTGGATACGACTATTCTTTTTACTTTTGTATAGACTATGGAAAGTAGTCGTTTACATTACAAGTTATAAATTTATCGGTCCTTTTTTCACGTCTCCAATCTTTGTTGTATGGTATAATTTTCATTTGTATAATGTCAACGTGGAATATATAATAAGGTTTTTTTTTTCTTTCATGAAAAGCTTTCAAGTTTACTTTGTTTAGAAGGATAAATCACATGGGATCGGTCCACATCCATGATTCTATAGTCCTTTTATCGAACTTTGTACTTCTTTTTCCTCTGCACACGATTTTGACCACTTTTTTTTTTTACTATTTTCACTGATTTTCATGGACCCTATCACATTTGATTCCTTTTATTACTTTTGGTCCCGTTTATAGAAATACTTCCCTATCAAAATATTGAACTTTTTGTAAGTAAATTTCAGAGAAAACCTCAACTAAAAACGAGGATGTTAAAAATCAAATCATTATATTAGATTGAAACCAAAACTTACTCTATGGAAAAAAATGCCACATGATTTGGACTAGCCGTTGTGAAGTCGTGGTCAATAAGACCTTAAATATTGATCAATTCACCAAACAGCTCATCGTATCCGTTGGTTTGTTTGACTTTTCAACAAGAACAATTTCTAATCATCCCAAATCGGACGGCTAAAAAATCAAAACGTGTAAGGAGGGAGAGTAGGACCCACATTGAGGAGTCCCACAAACGGACTTAAACCGGTATAATTAACGTGTCATTGGTCCTCTCTTTTTAACGTGCAACCCAACACGGCTTAGAGAAAAGCAAATATCAATGCGCCAAATTTCATTCAAATTATAAATTTAATGCATTTTTTTCAGCATATTAAAAGTTATTACTATAAACTCTACTAATTTATTATCATACATTTAGTTGTATTATTCAAAACAAAAAAAAGTTGTATTATTACGTTTGTAAAATTTTCATATGGACCTGTCGGGTTTTATTGCGACAAATATTAAAGAGAAAAAGAATAAAGTAATGAACTTTAGAAGACTTTTAGATTGTAAAATAATTCATTTGATTTTGATTGATATAGTTTTTATATTTTAAAACTCGCAATTCCAATATTTTTTTTTTATTAAAGAAACGTTTTAAAATCCAATAACCATCGGACAATATATAAACAGGTGTCGTATGCTATTACGTATATTCATGTCTCAATATGACATAAGATTTTTAGTAATCATATAATTTCCCGCCGAATTTATGAGACTAATCAAGTTAACTAATAATATTCTGACACGTTCTCGAACAATATGTGTACAACTTAAGTAAGTGATTATATATTCGAAAATTCATCAATCTATCAACAGGATCCAGCACTCTAGTTCCTCAATGATCGGATTAATACACCATGTTTCTTATTCTCAATAACTGTCGGTTTTGAATTAATCATGTTCATCGAATTAACCCAAAGAAAAAAAATCGATCTATTTGAAGAATCGATGAAAATTATATTGCAAATCTACATAAAAAGATGATAAATTGATGAAACAAAAGGAGGAATTCAGTCGATATGTGTTCCGCTGTTACTCACCATTAGATTCCCTGAAGAGGAGCAACCATTGCAAGGTCAGTGCGCCTCCACTGTAAACAATCATCACAATGAACACATGCATGTA